AATGCCGGTGTCTTTTTTTTCCAGCTCTTGATTCATTTAAGTTTGTTTACTTCTCTCCCAAAATTCTGCACTAATTATTTCTATTATACCATTTAATTCCCTCTGTAAGTATGATGATTCCCACGTAGGTGATTTCTGTCAAAATAAACCTCTCGACAGCTAGAATGTTATGTTTGTATTAATTAGGTGTTTTGCCTGAATCATCATTCTGATTTGTGTCTGCATTGTTGTCAAGATTGGTGACAAGGAGATCAACTACCACAGGAACTTCAAACTGATACTGCAGACAAAGCTGGCAAATCCCCACTACAAACCAGAGATGCAGGCACAGACAACACTGATTAATTTCACTGTGACCAGGTCAGACAAACTGTTAGAAGATTGTGAACTCAAATTTTTTTAAATTCTTTTGTTCATCAGTTGTAATAGCTAGATGCTCACCTGCAGATCCAAAGGAAATGGGTTTGAATCTGATTAGTGCCGGACTTTTTGAAAAATGATCTTGGCTTCTTGGTCGAACCAGTCTTGAGTGGGTATCAGGTAAAAGTACTGGACAGTAAAGGTAGCTGGCGTGATGTTGACTACATCATCTTTTGAATGCTGATTGGTCTATAAAATATAGGTGTAGCTCTATATGCATTATACATCCGAGATGTGGAAAAAGGTCCTTTACTTTTACTTTGCTTATATATATTTCCTAACTAAAATGGAGAGGGAGAAACAATAGGGAAATTCATAATCTGTTTAAATCACTACTAATTTCTGTTATCCCGAGGTCTAATAGATTGCACTGGTTGGGCCCTTCAGAGAGAATGTCAAACAACAGAGACAAAAAAATGTGTATACAAAAGAGTGGAATAGGAGCAGACCATGATGCAGACCAAGAAAATGGAGATACAGTATACAGGCAGATCAACATAGACTTTAGAGTCATCAGAAAGAAAGAGAAGGCCAAACAGAGTGAAGGATGGATGCAGGTGATATCTGCAGTAATGAACTGCAAGCGCTGGGAGACTGCAGAAGATTGCATAGCTGTTATACTTGGAACACATGTGTAGCTTATATATTTATTGCAATGTATAATTAATTACCAAAATGTAAACATTGTGTAATGTCTCCAGACTGGAGGTTGGCTGCAGTGGATTTGTACATTTACTACTGTCTCTGAAAATCTCTTGCATGGTGCAGCTCTCATACCTAACACAAATGATAATAGTTTTTTTTTTTAAACTGCTAACTGCTGACATCAAGCCTTAGGACTTGAGAATTGGCAAACTTCTTCACTAACCTCTAAGTCACATAGCCGCACAGTTTATGATATGTTGTAGTTTCATTATATTATTTTTTTCTCCTGAAAAATAGTATATTAATTTAACCACTGTGTTTAAGCAAAAAGTTATTCTCTATCTTGTATCCAATTTCCTCTAATTTCAACAACAACAAAATTGTAATTCAAAAGAGGAGGGCAAACAGAAAAGTTACAAGCAATATTACCAAGAAATTTGAGAAAAACATTCACATATATCAAAGTGTAAAACTACATAAGAAACAGACCTCAACAACTAGTAATTTAGTGTCAAAATATCAGTGTGATGGTCTTGTTCTGCCTTTCTAGCCCCCAGTGAAGCACAGACACTCAATGTCATGGTACACACTTGTTTTCCTTGGTGACATCTGCAATTGTTTGTCTTATGTTAGACAATGCACAAAGGAATACTGAAAAAATGTTAGTATAACAAACTATTACAAGTATAAAAGCACTCAGTTAAAAAAATTGCTTAACACAGCTCCTTGAAACTTTCTTGCACCTTCCTAGGACAGATCATATAAACACTGCCATGCTGTGGTAAACAGCTACGTAGTCTGCACATTACCCACTTGGAATAGTTTGGGAACAGGTATAGACCCTCCTGTGGAGCCAGCTGATGATTTGGTCAAGACTTCAACAATGTGGACAGGTCTGGTATCAGGTGTAGACTTTCACGAGGTGCCAACATTTGTTTGTTCAGGCGCCCCACAACATGGACATGTGTGGTAACAAAGTGTCAGTATATGCTTGGCCAGTAGCACCCCACAACATGGACATGTGTGGTAACAAAGTGTCAGTATATGCTTGGCCAGCACCCCACAACATGGACATGTGTATTAACAAAGTGTCAATATATGCTTGGCCAGCACCCCAACAACATGGACATGTGTGGTAACAAAGTGTCAGTATATGCTTGGCCAGCACCCCACAACATGGACATGTGTGGTCACAAAGTGTCAATATATGCTTGGCCAGCAGCACCCAACAACATGGACAGGTTGACTACTACACAGTGCCAACTAGTGTCTTGGTAAACAGCACTGCATTATCAACAAATTAGCTAGCCAATGAACTTGTGGACGCTACCAGTGGTCATAGCACTCCATCAGGCTAAACAATAAACCCTCCCTCTCTGGGGTAGGCCAAAGAGCCCAGGAATTGGCCTCAATTGACTCCAGAATTCCCAGTGGAGAACCTCTAAAACCCACCCCAGAGACCGTCTTGCCATTCTCCTCATCTGTGGTGTACATTAGATGACCTAGTTCTTTTCAACTAAACGCTTTACAAAACAGTATCAACAGTCACCTGACAAATCTGCTTTCAAAATAGCAATAACCAGTCTATTCTTTGAGTTAATAGGACCAAAGTATCTAAAGGTACATCATATGGATAGGCAAAATTCCTACAGGTTTGGCACCCATTTTTTCAATACAAGGGCAACCTTGTAATAGTGTTGTAATAGTGCAGTCAGGATTTTAATGACAGCTGGCACCTCACCACTGTCATAAGTTAGCACAAAAGGGCTTACTCTTTCTTTCCTTGGCATGAATCCTTTAAAGTTGTCTATTCCTAATTATGTTACCTACTGTAGTCTTTTCTTAATTATGTTACCTACAGTAGTCTATTCCTAATTATGTCCTACAGTAGTCTGTTCCTAATTATGAGTCATCTCCTTGTGAAATGCAATTTTTTGTTATTTGAAGCCCCACTCTGGCTCTTGCCAGGGGCCGCAATATAGCCCGACCATAAATATGGTCTAATGGCTGAACGTGATTTCTGGGACCTCTCCACGATGATCCTCATCCACATGGTGGCACATTGTGTCTTTGGGTGTTTATCGCTTGTGTGATGTCCTAGTGGGGTAAAAATCTACTACTATTACTACTACCTAATTATGTTACCTGCAGTAGTCTATTTTAATTATGTTACCTGCGGTAGTCTATTCCTTATTATGTTACCTGCAGTAGTCTATTCTAATTATGTTAACTTCAGTAGTCTATTCTTAATTATGTTACCTGCAGTAGTCTATTCCTAATTATGTTACCTGCAGTGGTCTATTCCTAATTATGTTACCTGCAGTAGTCTATTCTTAATTATGTTACCCACAGTAGTAGCTATTTAGAGTCAGAGGCTCAAAACTGCATCATTAAAGGACAGCATGAATTAACTCTTTCCATCCTAGAAGGTCACAGTTGATGCCCTAGTGAATCAATTGTGAAATCAACGAAATAAGGAGTATACTACATCCACAATGCCCAAATACACTATCCTTGCGGGAGACAAATGGGTTGTTGAGTGTGTTAGCTTGCCAGACTAATCATATAATGTACAAGCGTATAATAATATATTAACTGGTACATATGCGTAAATCCAGTCACACGTAGTAGGTATGGGGGGGGGGGGGGGGGGGGGGGGGGGAAAAAGTGTTTACAAAAAATTAAAAACACACATTTATGATAGGATGGGTAACAGGTGTAGACTCTCACAAAGTGCCAGTATTTGTTTATTCAGCACTCGGACAACACGAACAGTTTAGGTAGCTAGTGTTAACCACTAAACAGTGCCAGTATTTGTTTATTTAGCACTCGGACAACACCAACAGTTTAGGTAGCTAGTGTTAACCACTAAACAGTGCCAGTATTTGTTTATTTAGCACTCGGACAACACCAACAGTTTAGGTAGCTAGTGTTAACCACTAAACAGTGCCAGTATTTGTTTATTTAGCACTCGGACAACACCAACAGTTTAGGTAGCTAGTGTTAACCACTAAACAGTGCCAGTATTTGTTTATTTAGCACTCGGACAACACGAACAGTTTAGGTAGCTAGTGTTAACCACTAAACAGTGCCAGTATTTGTTTATTTAGCACTCGGACAACACCAACAGTTTAGGTAGCTAGTGTTAACCACTAAACAGTGCCAGTATTTGTTTATTCAGCACTCGGACAACACGAACAGTTTAGGTAGCTAGTGTTAACCACTAAACAAGGCCAGTATTTGTTTATTTAGCACTCGGACAACACCAACAGTTTAGGTAGCTAGTGTTAACCACTAAACAGTGCCAGTATTTGTTTATTTAGCACTCGGACAACACCAACAGTTTAGGTAGCTAGTGTTAACCACTAAACAGTGCCAGTATTTGTTTATTTAGCACTCGGACAACACGAACAGTTTAGGTAGCTAGTGTTAACCACTAAACAAGGCCAACTAGTATCTTGGTCAGCAGGCTTGATCAGCAGCACTGCATCATCAACAAAAGCTGCATGAGAAACCAAATATTCAGAAAAGCACGCCATGCCATGGCGAAACATCAGACACATGGTGTGTTGATTGGTATTGAATGAGTTAAAATGTAAATGTTCCATCATTGTTTTTTATAGAGATGGCCTAGAAGACCAGTTGCTGGGAGCTGTCGTGTCCAAGGAGAGGCCTGATTTGGAGAAGCTGAAATCTGATCTCACACGTCAACAGAATGAGTTTAAAATTGTTCTTAAAGGTATAAGTGTTTCATATACATTATGTATTTCTTTGTATACATCTTCTGCTTATTTCATCTTGAAATGAAAATAACTGCTACTGCTTTTTGGGTTTAGCTTAATTTTTTTAGTGATATGGTCAGAAAATTTTCTGCTGCCAGTTTTAGGATGGAATTGTCAGTCTTGGGTCCTTATTGTCTAAACAAAATTCCTGTTTTGAGAGTGATTTGAACCCAGAATGTTTGGCCCTGCAAACAAATGCATTAATCACTGCCCTTACTGCACCACCAACATCAAATACTAGCTTTTATTATATAGTCTTATTAGGTGAGATTATTAATAGTTTCTAGAAACTCACTTTACTGTAGACAAGTCTTCTGAAGAATGTCTGCTTTACACTTTGATATTTCTTGTTTATGAAGAGCTGGAAGACAACCTACTTGCCCGACTGTCAACTGCTGAAGGAAACTTCCTCGGTGACTACGCTTTAGTTGAAAATCTGGAAACTACCAAGCGCACAGCTGCTGAAATCGAACAGAAGTCTGAAGAGGCCAAGATTACTGAAGTGGAAATTAACTTGGCCAGAGAAAACTATCGCCCAGTATCAGCAAGGGCAGCACTTCTCTATTTTATTATGAATGACCTCTTTAAGATTCACCCCATGTACCAGTTTTCACTAAAGGTAAATATACATATGTTGAAGTCACTTGTAAACTATTCATCAACAGATAGCCTATGCTCTGAACAGGTAGACTCCTGGGAATGCTAATGTAAAATGTGATCTTACCATCTGGCAAGTAATGCACCAATACATGCAGGAAGAAACATGGACAGAGCTGATGTAAGTAATCCAGACTCGACTGGTGGATAATGATGAGTCCGATGGTAACCTGATCTGTGTGTTTTCATGAAACACATTTATGTTATCTTCAAGGTCAGGATAGAAGGCATAATAACCAGATTATCATGGGACATTTGTGTTGTAGAGATACCTTGGAATGCCTGCCGCATCAGAGGACGGAGAACGCAAATGCTCACTGTGCAGTGAGACCAATTGTGATGCAGACAGCAATTAAACTATGTTAACTTAAATGCTTGTTTGGATATTTGCTATGAGGAATGCTTCATTGCACTAGTGGTGAACTGGTGAGGCATGCATGTCACAGCTGTTATTGCTGCTAACACTTTAAATTACAAAAGAAAAAGGGATTATTTAACTACTATTATTAGTGTTTATACATTTATTAAAAATATGCCATTCAGTTTACATCTCGCTGAGCGAGTAAAGTTAGTTAACAGAGTTAATGTAATGAGAGAATGCCTGGCGCTGCTTATGTCACTTATACAAAACTGTGACATGTGAGAAATACCGGTTACAAATAGTACAGTGCTAGCTGTGCACACATACTCTTATCTGCAAAAGAAAGAGAAAGAAAATATTACGTGATACCTTGTCCAGTGTAATTGTTACATGTCAATGCTTACACATGCAAATTGACCCTGCCTAATTGCTGCAGTGTACATTTTCAAAATCATGCTTTTCTGTACATTGCACCAGTGATTCCCAAACTGTGCACCACGGCGCCCCGGGGGGCTGCGACCTCTTCACAGGGGCGTCGCGAAATATTCGTAGATACACGAGTTTTATTTTTTTTAAATCTCTTACATACAAATAGTAATACTTTTACTTAGATTAGGGAGCTGAGGAAAAATTGTAATTGACCAAAGGCGCAGTGACTAAGAAAAATTTGGGAAATACAGCATTACACATTGACTTGTTTTGCCTCATAACCTTGGGAGTTCTTTCTGTTTTTAGATCAGTTCTTGGTGTTTCTCTTTTCTTCCTGGAAGAAAGTACTAAAGTGTATATACTATAATAATTGCAGTGACAGTTACTGAGATTTGGTTTTTTAATTGTCTTTTTTTTTTTGTATTCTTTCTCAGATTTTGATTCCAGATTTGGGCTAGAATTTGTACTGGATGTTGTTTTCAGAACATTAAAGTATCTTTACAGTTGTTGACATCTGTCACTTAGAGGTTGTAAATTCTATATTACAGAGGTTTTGAAGTCAGCTGTTTTTTTTTTTTTTTATATAGCAGACTGCTTTGAATTGATTGTATCAATGGTCTTAGTTTCATACCATTCTGAAAGCAGTGGTAAATAGTGACTGTACAATGTCCTTCCTTTTCTTCTTCTTCCTCTTCTTGTAATCACTCTCTGGTTTATACTGACTGATGAGTTTTTGTAATATAATTTATGTTGTGTAAAGTTCCCTTTTAGCTCCATACAACTTTAAATATAGTATTGACTCACATGGCTAGTATTCCCTTAATAATGGGCTGTACAAGAGACAGATTTGCATACTCAGACTCCATGGGCACAACGATGAACTGCTTTGATAAAGCCTGTGTATATGCTTCTTAAGTTTGTTATGCCATATCATGAGGCATAGAGTGATGACTTGCTCATGCCGGTCAAGTAAGTGGTAGTCATCTATGGTGTTCACTAAAGAAACTTGCAAAGTCTGTTAAGTTACTTATAAAGTGACTCCAAAGCCAGTGATTGCAGGGACTGGTTCATTTGTGAAATCCTTAAAAGTACATGCAGCTAACAGTTGTTTCTTCGATTAGGTAAAAATTGTGGAATATTATCTTTTCCTATAAGGCCTTCAGTGTTGTGTTTGACAAGGCCATTGACAAAGCTGAATATGCCGAAACAGAAGCAGAAAGAGTGGTAAACCTGATAGATTCCATCACATATTCAACATATGTTTATACAACCAGGGGCTTGTTTGAAAGAGACAAGCTTATTTTTGGAACCATGATGACATTTCAGGTAAATTAGTTTTAAATCCATTACCAATCTTGGTGGGGGGGAGGGGGGGGGGGGGTGTCTTCCCCTTGTGGGTTGTAGGGTCCCTTTATGAATGTGTGGGGGGGGGGGGGGTGTGAAAGAATATACCCATTGTTTCTTAACTCTTTTAGTCCCACAAGGTTTTATACAAAAACATGTTTTTTTTTTTTTCTTTTCACATATTGCCACAAAAACTGACCACTTGCTATGTCGTAGGAATGAAAAAAGTTTAAAAGACTAAAACTTCAATACAAGAAGATCACATATTGTGATGTTTAGGGTCATTTTTAAAGTCTGAACCCATGACTCTCCGATCTCCAGGCAAGCGTCCAGCCCCTACACCGCGGCACCTTCCTGTCTGAAAACATACTGCTAATAACAGATTCTGTTGAAATAAACAACACAGCTTTTCTGTCTTCAAGTATATTGGGAGTAAGGTTCTAGCCCCAAATTTTTCATAGACCAAATGACATTAAATTGGTAAAGTGGTCAATGTTACATTGGCCATCTATACTTCCTGTTAAATTTCCTGGTGCAAATTTAAAGTTGCTAACAACTACCATACTTTGGCTTTCAAAAGATTTGTAATAATTTTTGTCAGATTTAGGTAATTTGGTAACAGCATCTTCTCACTTATGTTTACCAATTCAGTGTGAAATATGTATTGCTTGTTTGCATTTACTCATTGATTGTGAATATATCCATGCATTCCCTGTCTGTGATCATGTCTTGCTGCAGCCACCAATCATGATAACTGTCTGTTCATTGATCTCTGTGTCTGGCTGTAGCAGCTTGTAATGCATGTTATGTATCCTTTGTCTGTCCTCAATATCTCTGTTGCCCAGCTGCTGCCTTTGAGTCTGACTCAAAGCTTACTCGTTCTTGTAGACCTCAGCAGGAGGGGTGAAGATCAATCTGAAATCTCAAAGCGGTAAGATTACATAACAACCAGTAATACCATGCCCGCCCGCTTTTTCCACCCATGATGGACTTTGTAATGGGGCATTGATTGGGAATTTGAATAGCGGTAGCTCCAGGGTATAGAGTTATTTTTTTTTAAAAATGAATCGTCTCAACAACCACACCCTCATCAAACTGCAGTGTGTAAAGAAAGGTCATTTTAAAAAAGTGTTATTTATTTCCTCATTAGTAGTAGTAATTGATAATTCGGTTAATTTTTTGTTGTTAATGTTTGCTTTGTTTCTTCTGGTATATTTGTACTCTTTTTTGTTGTTGTAAAGGCTTAAAAACTTAAGAGTTAAGAAACAATGGGTATATTCTTAAAACTTAAAACTTTTTTTTTTAAATTTGTCAAATTGTGAAATGTTTGGATGTTCTTTGTAACTAGCCATTCTTACTTTCAGATTCTGACTCACCTGAAAGAGATTGACATGGATGCTTTAGATTTCCTGCTGCGGTACCCAGCCACCTCTGACCAGGCGTCACCAGTGGACTTTCTCAATGATCTCAGCTGGGGCGGTATTAAAGTCAGTTTTCCTGTGTTGAATGCAGTTGTATAGAATCAAATATTCCATCAGTTGTCAAGCGTCCTGTTCAAATTTAGAACACAATTCACTAGTTATGTCTTGGGTAAATGCTACTAATTTAATTTAACTCTTTGAGTCCCAGGGGGTTTAGCATCACAGGTCCAGGGGGTAGTAAATAAAGTAATAAAATCGGCGCATCATGCGTTCATTGGGCTTCTAGGTAGGAACCTATGAACGTATGATGAGTTCCTTGGAACTCACAGTTAAAATCATAAATTTTTCTCAAGTTTTTTCTAATGGCTGAAGATATCTGTATGTGGTCAAATCTTTATGAAATTTTGCATAGGCCTTCCTTATCCATCACAAAAACAATAAATTACAGAGAAATAATGTTATATTTGTTAATTTTATACTTATTTCTGTTTGATAAAGGTACATATTATGGTGATGAATAAATTGTTGCAGTAGTATTATCAATCCAGCTAAAAAAAATATTCAACGTATGCAGCTAAAAGTTTGTGTAGTTGCTCAGGTAAAGTTCAGCCAGAATCTGAACCTCTGTCAGTTCTGCATCTAAGTTAGATTTTCTTATTTTGAGGTCCATAATTTTCCACAAGTTTTGTAAAATCATAACTCAAGTTACATGTTGACTATTGTCGCCAAACCCACATGGATATACACTTATTTAGTAAGTGTGTGGGTTTGAATCCTGACATTGCGCACCCACGTGAGAACTTGGACTAATGCTGAGCTATGTTGATCCCAAACACAGTCCTGGATAACCAAGCAAACAGCAAAAGTGGCTCGTACAATAAAATGAAAGTAGCTGTACTTGTGCCCACAGGTGTCAGAAAAACGTAGTTAGATATCAAGAATAATTCAAGACAAGAATATCAAGATACACAGTTAACCGCTCCGACTTTCTCCTCTCATGGTATTAATGTATAGGAAAAGCCCCCATCAAGTGATTTACTTATAAGGGAGCTAAGTTAAACTAGTATGTGCAAAGACACTTGAACCTAAGTACACAATTTACCTAACTATTTTTTAACAACATGAACAAGATTTTTTTGAATAAATCTAACCAAAATAAATGGATGGTATTCATCTTGCACCATAAAGGATAATAGCTCAGTGATAAGAATGAGTCAGTCAATGAGTTCGGTACGTGCATATGCTAGTGGAGTGAGGATGGTGTTACGATGGTGATTATTCTTTTGAACATAACTTTTAAACCTGACACAGCTCTCAGGATAAGACTGCTTTTCCCAGTCTGTTGTCCTCACTGCTTCCAGCAGGTTGTACACTTGGATTATCTGCTTCTGATACGTGCTGACTGGTCCTTGTCCTGATGGGAACTGTGATAAAAGAAACAAGTGCATATGTATAGCGTCTCAATCGCAAACAGTATGCATACTCAAAAAAAATCAGATTTCATCCCTCCTCCTCATATTCACATTCTCTCCAGTCTAGTCTGAAGTTTTTTTTTGTCTCACACTGTAGTTGGTACATTTTCTGCCTTCCCTCTCTTATCCTGTCATAATAGTTTAAGTTCTAAGTCTGTTTGTTTTGTTCGTCTTCACTGAGACTTCAAACTGGCTGACATAGTTTGCCATTGACATGTGGTAACAGGTTATGTGCTAATAACTGAAAACAATATATGTGCAGGCTGTCCCGAATATTATATTTCCAATGACAGTTGATTATATACTCTCATGTTTTCCTCTAGGTTGTCAATCCCCTGCCAAAGTAAACACCTTACATTGAGTACATCGTGCGCTAGCAAAACCATCACCACATGGCTGCACGTGTTGTGAACACAATTTCAGCATCCTAAGGTTAAAAGTCACCTGCAGGTGATTTGGTAGCAGACTTACTGCGTTGATTGTGACAGTGGTGTGAGTGTTGTACTGTTTAGAAAGCAGTTGCAGACTACTGAACGTAATATTGTCTAGTAAAAACTACACACTGCCAATAAATGCTGGCTCCCCATGTGTATTCTGGGGGAATTGGAAGGGGGGGGGGGGGTGTAGACCCACTGCCTCCTAAAAAAAGCATGTCCTAGAAGAAAGCGACAAATAATGGGTGTTTCTTTTTAGGTCATAAAAATAATTCAGATGTATAAACTGAATGCATGCAAAACTCAAGTTCTAGAATAAGACCAGAGTCCAAAAGTGGACAGCCAGGCAGAACTTTCGGCCATTGTTTACAGCCGGTGAACGCTAAGAAGAAGAAGAAATACCAGCTCTTGTTTAAAATGAACAGGACATGTAGCAGCGGAAAGGCTATTGATTTAGCAGCTAGGACAGACCAGTAGGCTGTTTTTCGGGTAAGCAACAATGATTGGAAGTTGTCATGCATCTTTTTATGTATCCTTCCTTGGCATTTCCTTAGATGCCGTTTGCCTGTGAAGCGGACACGTAACTAACATTTTGTTTGTCAAACACAAAACTATTTCCACAGTCCCTGTCAGATAAAGAAGCGTTCAAAAATCTGGACAAGGATGTCTTGGGTTCAGCCAAACGATGGAAAAAATTTGTAGAAGGCGAAGCTCCAGAGAAGGAAAAGTTCCCCCAAGAATGGAAAAACAAATCTCCCATTGAGAAACTGTGTATGATGAGAGCACTCAGGCCTGACCGCATGAGTAATGCAATAACGTAAGTTGTTGTTCACAGATGATCTGTCTTAAAGTTGGCTTGTCTCGTTTACGATCATTTTGTTCACAGATGATTTGTCATAAGGTCGACTTGTCTCTGTGGCTATGATCAGTGTGTTCATGTGATTTGTCATAAGGTTGACTTGTCTCTGTGTTTGCGATCATTGTGTTCACAGGTGATTTGTCATAAGGTTGACTTGTCTCTGTGTTTTCGATCATTGTGTTCACAAGTGATTTGTCATAAGGTTGACTTGTCTCTCTGTTTATGATCATTTTGTTCACACGTGATTTGTCATAAAGTTGGCTTGTCTCTGTGTTTATGATCATTTTGTTCACACGTGATTTGTCATAAGGTTGACTTGTCTCTGTGTTTATAATTATTGTGTTCAAGGGTGATTTGTCATAAGGTTGACTTGTCTCTGTGTTTATGATCATTTTGTTCACGGGTGATTTGTCATAAGATTTACTTGTCTTTGTGTTTATAATCATTGCTGTTAATCCATCTGAATAAGTAAATGTTGGACACAAACTTAGGTTGGTAGCCTGATGAAGCATTTATTTGGTGATTTTTAACCTTAAGCCTAAAGTATTGGCATTCAGACTATGTGAGCCTTGAAAACAGTTTGTATAAATCACAATGAGTTTGGTGTAGACATTTATTTCTTGACCTGGTATTAAAGTATGTTTTCCATAGTGACTGTGTCCTAGCACTCTTCTCTCCGTCTCCTGAAAGATGTTCAAGACGTCTTTGATGACATACTAGGATTATTGCACACGCTGGGATTAGGCCTGGGTTGGGTGTGTTTCCTCCACAGGTTTTTTATCTTTCATTGTTAACAGACTCCAAGCTAATACCCACAGTTTTTTATCTTTCATTGTTAACAGACTCCAAGCTAATACCCACAGGTTTTATATCTTTTATTGTTAACAGACACCAAGCTAATACCCACAGGTTTTATATCTTTCATTGTTAACAGACTCCAAGCTAATACCCCAGGTTTTAGATCTTTTATTGTTAACAGAATCCAAGCTAATACACACAGATTTTATATCTTTCATTGTTAATAACATAATAACAGACTCCACAGGGGATATATCAGTGAATGTAATTTGTTGTATAACTCTCCTTATTTATAAATTCATTCATACATTCACACATCTCTTATAAGCTTTTTTTTTAAACAATATTAATAATATCAGTACTTTGTATGCACATGTGAAATTGTACAGAAATCATTACTCCATAACTAATTTATAATAATTCTGATTATTGTCATTGTAATATGATGAAAGAAAATATACCATACAACAAAATTTAGTAATACTTAGTATATTAGAATTGTTAAGGATATATCATTATTGTAAATACAAGAGTTGGTTTTGTCTATGATTTCCTGTGGAAGAGTAATTGCGCTCGCTCTTGAGAAAATACATTTGTTTAAATACCCCTCTCCCTGTGAAGGTTCCGGGGACCCCATTCTGGAGCGAAAAAGAACAGACCCACAACCCCCCCCCCCCAACCCCTATCAAGCATGTACATGTAAAAGCGTACATAAGAATATCAGCAGATATCAACCACCCACAGCACAACGCTATCAATGATATAAAAGGGTCGCGTCTCAAAAGAGGCTCCTCCTGGATGGCCGAGGCAGAAAATATAATCCAGCAAGTACGTGCCCTAGACGAGATCAGTCACGGAAAAGAATGGACGGATACATCACTAGACCTGCATGATTTGTCTAAGGTTGTCATAACACTGGGGAGGTACTGCAGGCGTCAGATACCTGCCACCATAGACGCCGAGATTAGGGCACTGATTGATCAGCACTCAAGCCCAGAAGACGTTATCCTTTACACAGATGAGTCAGTGAAGTGCCGGACAAGATCAGCATGGGCATACACAGCACAAAGGATGTGAAAAACAATAAAAGAGAATAGCGGCGCTTACCAGACGACTACGTCAAGCATGACCATGGAGATAGCTGCTGCTACCAGAGCACTTGCTTGGGTAGTAGAATAAGTGGCCACACATGCAGTAATTGTTTCAGACTCTATGAACATACTTCAGAAAATCGCTACAAGTAGTCTCTGCTCCGAATAGTTAGAAAGCATTTGGAAGTCGCACTTAACCTTCATCATCTGGATCTACACACCTGGGCATGCAGGAGTAAATGGTAATGAAAGAGCTGACCAACTGGCAAGTAATGCACCAATGCAAATGGGAAAAAGCATGGACAGAGCTGATATCATCAACGCCGTACGGATTAGGTTGGGAGATAATGCCCAATCTCTAACGCTGACACGTCTACGTGACCGAGAAGTTAAGCTTGGTGAAGCACGATTATGCCATCTTAGAGGTAAAGACAGGAGATACTATAACTAACTCCTCATGGCAACAATAAGTAGAGGTACCTTGAAGTGGTTGCTGCATCGGAGGACTGCGCACGCATGGGGATGCCCAGTGTGCAAAGACGTCGATTGTGATAACATAACATACGCGTGTCATAAAAGGCAACTAATTAGGGGTTTTCCTTCAAAGTCAGAGTTCATCTGCCTGAGAGCCGAGGAACTAGTAGTGTGCATACAAGTAAGCCATATCTGTAAAATAAATGTGCACACAAAATCCACAATTCTAGAAGACTTAAGTCCAGAAGTGGATGAACAGCCAGTCATTTTTGCTATAGTTTACAACCGGTGAAGAAGAATAATTATCCTTCCTTTATTTACCTTTAAATATCAGTGTTCTTTTGATTAATTTCATAGCGGATTTATTGAAGAATCCATGGGTCGAAAGTATGTGGAGAACCGCACAGTGGAATTTGGCAAGTCATATGAAGAGTCGGGACCCGCGACACCCATCTTTTTCATCCTGTCGCCCGGTGTAGATCCACTTAAAGATGTTGAGAAGGTAGGGAAGAAGTTTGGCTATAGCACAGCAAAGGAAAACCTGCACAATGTTTCCCTCGGCCAGGGACAAGAAATAGTGGCGGAAAGAGCTATTGATCTGGCTGCAAAGAAAGGCCACTGGGTTGTTCTTCAGGTAAGCAACAGTGATTATTAGCTGGCATGGTATCTTCTCAACACTTTCAGTGTCAAGCAACTCTTCATGCATTTATTAGTTACATAATAACATGCTCTGCCTTTCTGAGTGTCTTGTACCCTACCCAGCTGTAGATTTATCTGATTCTGTCCCAATTGTTACTTCAGATGTTTTTGTCTCAAAATGGTATTACCTGAACATTTTCACACCTCATATACCATTACTTTAAGCAACTACTGCTTTGGAAGTTAGGAGTTAAAGAAACACAAGTCTGGGGCTGAAAGAGTTCATATTGTTGATAATTTCTGTCGGAAAACATTGTTACATGGTATTCAGATAAATTGTTACATGATTGTCAGATAACATTGTTACATGGTTGTCTGATAACATTGTGACATGGTCATCAGATGACATTGTTACATGGTCGTAAGATAACATTGTGATATGGTCATCAAATAACATTGTGACTCAATTGTCAGATAACATTGTGACATGGTTATCAGGTAACATTGTGACATGGTTGTCAGATAACATTGTGACATGTTTATCAGATAAGAATGACATGGTTTTCAGATAAGATTGTGACATGATCATCACATAACACTGTGACATGGTTGTCTGAAAATATTGCAACATTGTTGTGAGAGAAAAACTGTCACTTGGTTGTCAAATAATATTACTTCAATGGTGTCAGATAAAATTGTGACATGGTTGTCCAGATCTAGATAACATTGTGGCATGGTTGTCCAGATCCAGATAACATTGTGACCTGGTTGTCCAGATCTAGCTAATATTGTGATATGGTTGTCCAGATCCAGATAACATTGTGACAAGGTTGTCCAGATAATATTGTGACATGGTTGTCCAGATCCAGATAATATTGTGATATGGTTGTCAAGATCCAGATAACATTGTGACATGGTTGTCCAGATCCAGATAATATTGTGACATGGTTGTCAAAATTCAGATAACATTGTGACATGGTTGTCCAGATTCAGAAAACATTGTGACATGGTTGTCCAGATCCAAATAATATTGTGACATGGTTGTCCAGATCCAGATAATATTGTGATATGGTTGTCAAGATCCAGATAACATTATGACATGGTTGTCCAGATCCAAATAATATTGTGACATGTTTGACAAGATCCAGATAACATTGTGACATGGTTGTCCAGATCCAAATAATATTGTGACATGGTTGACAAGATCCAGATAACATTGTGACATAGTTGTCCAGATCCAAATAATATTGTGACATGGTTGACAAGATCCAGATAACATTGTGACATGGTTGTCCAGATCCAGATAACATTGTGACATGGTTGTCCAGATCCAAATAATATTGTGACATGGTTGACAAGATCCAGATAATATTGTGACATGGTTGTCCAGATCCAGATAATACTGTGACATGGTTGTCCAGATCCAGATAATATTGTGACATAGTTGTCCAGATAACATTGTGGCATGGTTGTCCAGATAACATTGTGATATGGTTGTCCTGATAACATTGTGACATGGTTGTCCAGATAACATTGTGACATGGTTGTCCAGATGACATTGTGACATTGTTGTCCAGATCCATATAACATTGTGACATGGTTGTCTAGATCCAGATAATATTGTGACATGGTTGTCCAGATCCAGATAACAATGTGACATGGTTGTCCAGATCCAGATAACATTGTGACATGGTTGTCAGATAACATTGTGACATGGTTGTCTGTGACGTGACGCAGTGGGTTAAATATTTATAAGTTGAGTAGGGATTTTCCTCTCAACACATTCCCTCCACCTGATTAACTGAACTAAAATCCGAGCTATGTTGCTCTCAGACAAAGTCCTGGATATCCAAGAAAACAGCCATATTGGCTCATTAAGTACATTAACATTAGCTGCACTTGGTACCCACAAGGGAAGGAAAGGAATTTTAGATGTCTATATCATTATGCTGAATGAATTATTAGACAGGGCAAATAATTCCTCCGTCGTACTTTCTCCCGGTATTATTATTAATAATTAAAGAATTATTATCATATCCCACCAAATGTAATTCTATCTATCAGTTTAGTTAAACAGGTAAGACTGAATACACTTGGAATTTAACAAACGATGTAGTATAAAACTTGACATACAGCTTTATTTACTAACAATCATTATTTCCCAGTTTGTTGTGTTTACTCAAACAGTGACTGGTTAATGTTATGATAGTGATGAGATGCTTCAGCGAGAAAACAGCACCTGAGATTAGAATGGTGTGATGAAGGTGATAACGTATGAACAATTTATGACATAACTTAGTTATCATAGAACCTCTGACAGCCGTGAGCACTGTCAAGCTCTTCCTCCTCTTCTAGCTTCTTCCCTGCTTGTTTTCTGCCTGTTTCAGCGTAGTCTCCACTTCATCCCCAACTCGTTCCAAGCTGGCCGAGTCTAACACAATGTAGTCTCCTTCATGGACTGATCGTCACATGGGCGCTGTAATCATGGAAACAAAACACATACGTGTAGTATCTTGACTTACACTAAGAATACATGTATCAATTATTGTAACATATAATAATAAAATGTATCCCATCACTCCTCCTCATATTCCACATTCTCTCCAGTCTAGTCTGAAGGTCTTTTGTCTTACATGGACGTCACATATCCTGCCTTCCCTCTCATGCTATGTCATGATAGTTGACTTTCTAAGTCTGTTGTCCGTCTTCACTCAGACTTCCAACTGGCTGACATGGATATTATATGACCACGGGGAGCAGGTTATGTGCTGAGAACTCCAACCATGTTATATGTGCATGGTGTCTGGAATATTGTCTTTCCAGTGAGCACATGGTGAGCTATTAAAACTCTGCGCATATGGGCATGATTTCCCACAGTCCCAGCACATGTTTTGGGTTGACCATGGAACATTATAATTTCATTACATTTCAGTATACAAGTCTTATTTTATAAACATGAAAACATACACTGAAAAACATGTGCCACAAACATACAAGAAATAGAAATGGGTTAGCAGTTCCCTAACTGAAATACTGAATACTCAAAGAACTATTTCAAGCAGAATGTGTATAACAATTAGGAAAAGGTAGAATAGACTTTAGCTAACTCCCTAACCTATGTATACAAGATTGCAAATAATTGTACAAGCTTACCTGGGATATTCCAGCAATCGCCAAACCAGAATCAACAATTAGAATTACCTCTAATTTGTGACCTGAGTTTGTTGCTCGTGGCTGCGATTATGACGGGAATTCCACAGGCTAGTATTATTAATACCCCTATCTGTCTGCAAGGTTAAACTCCTCCCTTTACTAGGTTCTACCCAACCCTCCAGGAGATGACCTAAGCCCCGCCTCTGAGGTACCTAGCAAATCAACCTAGCTATCAATGGGCCTGTCACTCACAGTGAACGGCCTAGAGTACGACCTTGACCAAGATTAGACATTCCTAATTGCCAAACATCTGTTCTCTTGAGAATTTCACTATCATGTGTGAAACTTTAGACGCTGGACGCCATCCTGTCTAGAAATGTCTACCAGACCACTTAATTCCCCTGATCTAGCCTGTTCAAAGGCCCCACTCAGTCTGTGTTATGTAACTTTTATGACACTACGGTCGGGTTCAGGGGAGCTAATCTCAGGTGTGACACTAAGTTATTTCCCCCTTCCTCGCCTCTACAGTCTGGTCAGGAGATAACTTTCTGACACGGGCAGGTGAAACTCTAGCTACAGTAGTATTAGGTAATATCACATAAAGCGAGGTTGCTTTGTCTGGCGAGAGACTGGAAACACAGTTTAAACAATTCTCAAATCCCTTGTAATGGTTTTAGAACTATTTTAGGCTCAGTGTCTATTGCTTATAATTCTTTGTCCTTCTCTGAACATAAGAAATTATTTAACACAATATAACTTCTGAGACCACTGAGGTCATTTCGTCACATATAACATTGTGACATTGTTGTCCAGATCCATATAACATTGTGACATGGTTGTCTAGATCCAGATAATATTGTGACATGGTTGACAAGATCCAGATAACATTGTGACATGGTTGTCCAGATCCAAATAACATTGTGACATGGTTGTCCAGATCCAAATAATATTGTGACATGGTTGACAAGATCCAGATAACATTGTGACATGGTTGTCCAGATCCAGATAATACTGTGACATGGTTGTCCAGATCCAGATAATGTTGTGACATAGTTGTCCAGATAACATTGTGGCATGGTTGTACATATAATATTGTGACATGGTTGTCCTGATAACATTGTGACATTGTTGTCCAGATAACATTGTGACATGGTTGTCCAGATAACATTGTGACATTGTTGTCCAGATCCATATAACATTGTGACATGGTTGTCTAGATCCAGATAATATTGTGACATGGTTGTCCAGATCCAGATAACAATGTGACATGGTTGTCCAGATTCAGATAACATTGTGACATGGTTGTCCAGATCCAGATAACATTGTGACATGGTTGTCATTGTGACATGGTTGTCAGATAAGATTGTGACATGATTGTCAGATAGCTAAATAACAGATTTAAGCACTTTAAAAATATGTTTACACAGTGTGTTTTTTTCCTACTTTTTTTCAATTCGATGATTAACATAATAATAAAATGTATTATTATTTGACAGAATGTTCATTTAGTTGCTAGATGGCTGCCCAATCTGGAGAAAAAGTTGGAGCAGTATTCAGAAGAAAGTCATCTGAATTACCGCTTGTTTATCAGTGCAGAACCTGCAGGTTCCAGAGAGTTCCACATCATGCCACAGGGTATCCTGGAATCTTCTGTGAAAATCACCAATGAGCCTCCAACTGGCATGTTTGCCAACTTACATAAGGCCCTGGATAATTTTACCCAGGTTAATTTTGCTCTTGTTTGTATTGTCCTGCTAAATGGGTTTGTGGTTGTTATTGCAATAATTTATTGTTATAATGATTTCTTTAGTTGTCTTTAAACTAGTTGATACACTAATTTATTAATATAGTGGTTAGTGCACTAAATCACTAAATATAGTGGTTAGTGCACTAAATCACTAAATATAGTGGTTAGTGCACTAAATCACCAAATATAGTGGTTAGTGCACTAAATCACTAAATATAGTGGTTAGTGCACTAAATCACCAAATATAGTGGTTAGTGCACTAAATCACTAAATATAGTGGTTAGTGCACTAAATCACTGAATATAGTGGTTAGGGCACTAAATCACCAAATATAGTGGTTAGTGCACTAAATCACTAAATATAGTGGTTAGTGCACTAAATCACCAAATATAGTGGTTAGTGCACTAAATTACCTAAAATAATGGTTAGTGCATTAAATTATACCCACACACAAAAAACAGTGGTTAGTGCACTAAATTACAAATAATAGTTGTTGGTGCACCAAATTACAAAACAAAAAAAAACAGTGGTTAGTGCACTAAATTGTCAAAAAACAGTGGTTAGTGCATTAAATTATCAAAAATAGTGGTTAATGCACCAAATTAAAAAAAAAAAACGGTGGTTAGCGCACTAAATTGCCGAAAACAGTGGTTATTGCACTAAATTTAAAAAAAAACAGTTGTTAGTGCACTAAATTACAAAAACACAGTGATTAGTGCACTAAATTACAAAAACAGTGGTTAGTGCACTGAATTACAAAAACACAGTTGTTAGTGCACTAAATTACAAAAACACAGTTGTTAGTGCACTAAATTACAAAAACACAGTGGTTAGTGCACTAAATTACAAAAACACAGTGGTTAGTGCACTAAATTGCCAATGTGGTTGGGGCTGTAATTTACCAGTATAGTAGGTATTGACAGGCCTCAGACAAGCCACCAACTTAACAATTTGAGACAAAATAGGAAATGATATTATCAGACCTACTATAGGAACAACACCATGCAACAAATACATTGAGAAACAGAAGATAAAGGATTTGGTCATCTAGTATAAATGCAGTCAGAACAACTATGAATGCGGGTTCTACACATGAAAAGATCTGAGGAGATAGCAAGAGGTCACCCTAGGAGAAGATGGATTATTGATTTTATAGAGCTTTCACATCGACACAAAATGACAATAGCCATTGCTGCCAATCTAGCAATGGATCGCAAACTGTTCCTGCCCGTGATACTTAACAGCAGAAGTTAAAATTGATGATGATGATGATGATGATTAAAAAAAATGTGGTGGATAATTAAATGGACAATGTTCATTTTTAAAGAAACCAAACCATAAAAAAGTCATGTGACAGACAGCAGACCAAAGCAGTGAACATTTATGCCAATGTCTTGATAGTAGAAAGCTGGAGTTATAACTGGTAGGATTCCTGCAATATGACAGAAGAAATTTGTAGATAGTTTATCGTCTTAAAGTTGAAAGTTCTCAGTACACAATTTGACAGTGTTATGGATCACAAGCTGAGAAGAGACATGATTTCCCATACCATTCAACAAGACTCATAATCGATCAGCATGTTCTTTACAGACATCACTTTCATGATGGCTTGCCTGAAAGTCTCTCTTTCTCTAGCCAATTTTCCAGCCCTATGCACTTTCATAGCCAATGCATTCAATGTCCTGAATCCACTTTCCTGGAGGTCTGCCTCTGTCTCCTCATTTTCTGGAAACTGTACCCTCTATTACTGTTCTCTTTAGGCCACCATGATGTTAATGGCCAAAATACTCCAGCTTCTGGGACAGGAAGCTGTTGTATGAGCCAATCCTCCTCAGTGCTCAGATCTTGTAGAATGTCAGACCTTTTCTTTTTCTTGGTCTATAGTATTCTAAGAATCTTTCTCTAGCATTTCAGTTCAAAGGGTCAGATTTGTTTCCTTCAGTGACTGAGTAAAGAGTCTACGACTCACATCATTCATAAGTTGCCCTGTGAAGGATGCATGATCTCCAAATTGTTACTTTAACTTACTTGTATGTGCTGTGCCATTACAAGACACTAATGATAAGACATTAAATACATAGTTGAAAGCAACTTACACTAACTAATTCTACACATGTCTCAACAGGATACCCTGGAGATGTGCTCCAAGGAAGTTGAATTCAAGGCCATCTTGTTTTCACTGTGCTACTTTCATGCAGTGGTTTGTGAGAGGAGGAAATTTGGAGCCCAAGGATGGAACAGAGTGTACCCATTCAATGTTGGAGATTTGACCATCAGTGTCAATGTCTTATATAACTATCTGGAAGCCAACAACAAGGTAGGGAATTGTGGAAATGTGTATTGTTTTTGCTTCACATTCACCAGCTGTAGACTCCTGGAGAAAGTTCTGGTTGTTCGTATACCTCTGGACTTGCTCCAGAACTTGAGTTTTGTGTGCATGTCTGTTTTACATATCTAGCTTATTTGCATACAGACTGTTGTTTCCTTGCCTTTTGTGCAAATGCCCTCTTATTTTAAAGGAAACCCCTAATTAGTCGACTATTACGACATGCTTGCTATGGGTTGAGGGGGGGGGGGGAGCGGGGATTTTTGTGTTTTCCCCCACAATATGGCAAGGAACCCACACAGGAAGGAAATGTGTATTTTGTGTTGCACATTCGTTTTACTGCAGACTGTTGGTTTCTCACCACACACCCCAACTTTTATAGTAAGGTATTCAGAAGAGGGCCAAAGTCGGCATTCTTCCGAAAATTTCGTTCAAATGAAATTATATAATAAAGCAAAGCATAGTTGGTAGTGTTCCTGTTCCATATTTTTAACTACATGACCTCTTGAGGCCCTGAATGGGATGTTTTTGTCTTTGAATAATTTGGGACTGGTATTCAGAAGAGTGCCGAAATCTTTTTACATGCTTGTTAGGGAGCAGGGAATGAATTCTCAGCCTACAATGGGGCCCCAGAATGCCCCGCAGGACTTGCTTGTATTAACTTGAGTCTAATCAAGGCATCATGCTATTTTCTCTTGTTTTGCCCCAAAAAGGTGCCTTGGGAAGATTTGCGATATTTATTTGGTGAAATCATGTATGGAGGACATATCACAGACGACTGGGACCGTAAGTTATGCAGAACCTACCTAGAAGTCTATATGAATCAGGATATGGTAAGAAAATTTATTTTGGACTGCAAACATTACAAATAAGTATGGTATGCTTGGTCAGTTTTGTTTTTCTTGCTAAATTTGAAAAAAAAATATTGATAATTTTGTTCTTTCATGATTTAATCTTTGATTACATTTTTAGTAAAATATGAAAGATTTTTGTGGAGTTAATGTGCTTTAAAAAATATTATTATTTTTATGATTATTATTATTATTTAAATAGGCTGCCTTTTATAAATTGTTTTTCTTATTTCATTGTAATTTGTTTGGTTTGTAGTATCGGTTTAAATAAGTGTTCAGTTTTTATATAATTAAATTATCTTAGATGTAACATTTCCATATATTAATGTGGGTGTATTATCAACTTGTGAACCTTCTACAGCATGTCACTTTCATGTGTACAGCACATCACTTTCATGTGTACAGCACATCACTTTCACGTGTACAGCACATCACTTTCATGTGTACAGCACATCACTTTCATGTGTACAGCACATCACTTTCATGTGTACAGCACATCACTTTCATGTGTACAGCACATCACTTTCATGTGTACAGCACATCACTTTCATGTGTACAGCACATCACTTTCATGTGTACAGCACATCACTTTCATGTGTACAGCACATCACTTTCATGTGTACACAACATCACTTTCATGTGTACAGCACATCACTTTCATGTGTACAGCACATCACTTTCATGTGTACAGCACATCACTTTCATGTGTACAGCACATCACTTTCATGTGTACAGCACATCACTTTCATGTGTACAGCACATCACTTTCATGTGTACAGCACATCACTTTCATGTGTACAGCACATCACTTTCATGTGTACAGCACATCACTTTCATGTGTACAGCACATCACTTTCATGTGTACAGCACATCACTTTCATGTGTACAGCACATCACTTTCATGTGTACAGCACATCACTTTCATGTGTACAGCACATCACTTTCATGTGTACAGCACATCACTTTCATGTGTACAGCACATCACTTTCATGTGTACAGCACATCACTTTCATGTGTACAGCACATCACTTTCATGTGTACAGCACATCACTTTCATGTGTACAGCACATCACTTTCATGTGTACAACACATCACTTTCATGTGTACAGCACATCACTTTCATGTGTACAGAACATCACTTTCATGTGTACAGCACATTATTCTACAGTATGACTTTTTAAGTTCTCTTTCAGAGTTTATAATCATGTATGTCTGTTGAAGTGTAGTATACACATATGTCTGCAGAACTAGCAAGCCGGATACATAATTAATTTTTTTTTTTAAACGTGTGTTTACTACACAGCTTATGAAAGAGCAAAGTGTGTGATCTGACTGATTTGATTTGATTCAAGAACCGACATCATAGCACTCGGGGCATTCCCATAAGCGCTCCGTCCCAATCTTCAGCAGCCAGCGAAGAGTTCAAATTCTAATGGTGCTAGTAGCATTCTGATTAAACGTGATCTGACTAAAATGAGCCCCTGATCTATTTATATTAACAGTCAGCACAAGAATTTATTTACTTCATTATTTGGTGCAATATTGTTGGGTAACACATTTTTCATTATAATGAAAATTCTCCTCTTCAACCCGTATGTATAAAGTGGTTTACCACCTTGTAACATAATAAGGTAATTAACAACTTTGTAATAATGTTTTAGCATAACAACATATAAACTGTCTTCTATGGCAGCCTCTTCATGGGAAAAATACAAACTGTTTTTGGTGAGTCTTCTTCAGCTTGATCATTCTTTTTTTTCCCTCTAGATTGATGCTGAGCTGTATCTTGCTCCTGGATTCCCAGTGCCTCCCAACAGTGATTATGAAGCTTACCATCTGTACATAGATGAGGATCTGCCCCCAGAAAGTCCATATCTCTATGGTCTCCACCCCAATGCTGAGATTGAATTCCTCACAAAAACATCAGACAATCTCTTGAGAACTGTGTTTGAGATGCAGCCACGCGATGCTTCAGGAGGAGGGGGAGAGAGTGTATCCAAGGAAGACAAGGTAGTTTTTCCATGTGTAATTATCTCAGTCTGGGTCCCACTTTGAGGCAGAAGCAAAGAATAGACTCACTGCTCATTAACTCTTTCACTATGTAAGAATATTAAGGGCAACGTTAGTGCAGTCGATAGGAGGCTCACTTTCAAATCCAGCTGTGACTCACTGCAGCCCACAGCCGGTGTTTGAGGCTGGGTGAACCCCGGGGAACCGCCTGGTTTCCCAGTGGTTCTCCTAGGTTCACCCAGTCTCTAGGAAATGGGTACCAGAGTTAATACTCTGAGGTAAATGGAGGAATGTTGCTGTAGCTACGGAGTTGCGTGCGAACGGCGACTAAGGCGGACAGTTTCTTATCAGCTGTCCGTACTGGTGGCAGGTGGCAGAGCACTTATGGTTTATAACCGTGTGCAATGATGCTGGTTCCCATCTCCCGACTTTACCTTTTTACCTTTTATTAAATGGTCTTTTTCCCAATTTCATTTTTTTTAAACGAATCTTTATAATTTACACAAACTCTACCTTAAGAAACTAAAAGAAAGAAAGGAGCAGAAGAAATTTGGAGTCTTTTTCTGGCAAACATGAAGTCCACAACCTTTTCGCAGCCATCAGGTCATAAAAACCAGTATATATATATATATTTGTGTGTGTGTGTTTGTTTTTAAATTTTATTTGTTTATTTCAACCATTTAAAAGATGGTAAAGTAATGATATGGACATGCAACAAGATCTACTGGCCTCTCGAAAATGACAATACAGGGATCTGAAGAGAGGAAAAGAAGAGGAGGCAGACCAAGAATTTTCTGAATGTACAAGTCTCAAACATGCAAAATCAAAACCATTGCTTATGACCAGCAGAAGTGGAGGGAAACTGATCAGATATTGAACAGCAGTTGGTTACCCAGTAGCACATTTTATGGACTGGTTTTATTTGGTTTATACAAAGGACATCATCATGGCATGAGGGTAGTTATCCATAAGTGCTGTGATCTGCTTCTAACTTATGCCTAAATCTAAAGAATCTCAGCACAGTGCACAAACTCCGTAGCACCAGCGAGGATCCTGAAATACTTTTGGGTAGATTTTTAACTCCAAATTTTGTCCAGGCAGCGTCGTTAGGCTATGATGATGATGATGATGATGATACATCTTGGTCCTAATGAAGACATAAAGCAGTCATGTTACACTATTTGATATTTTACTTTCCAGGTCAAGGAAATTTTAGATGACTTAATAGAACGGTTGCCAGATCCATTCAACATGGAAGAAATTATGCAGAAAGTTCCCCCAGATGAGAGGACACCTTTTGTTGTTGTAGCCTTCCAAGAATGTGAACGAATGAATATGTTGACTGGAGAAATTAGACGCTCTCTGAAAGAACTTGATTTGGGACTCAAGGTAAGATTTTCTAGAGCGTGTGATTGTAGAATTTATACTCATTTTAGAATGTTCAAGATAATGTAAAATCACATTTGATAATAAAAAATACAAATTCCTTCAAGATGTTCTGAGAAAAGATTGAACAAAATAAATATGGTTTGCTAAAAAGATATGGGATCAGTTTCCATAACCACTATTCATGGATAATTCCAGAAATGAGAAAGCTAACACAAAAGAAAAGTGACAACATTTAAATCTGTTAACGTGTATGTAGGGGGTAAGGGCATCTACAACACTAATTGTCCAAGAATATGTTTGTAGGCAATCACTAAGCTAGATCTATCAAAGAGAAGAGCTTCCTGCCAGTTTTCAGAATGTAAAGTCAGATTTGACAATGTAAGCCAAATGAACTTGTCAAACTGTAAGGAAGCTGCCATTACAAATGTAGCCTCATTTTTTAAGAACAAATTTTACATTTCTAAAACATTGAAGACAATAAGAAAAAAGTAAAATATCAGTGACAAATTATGAATGGAAATAGAAAAAATTTACAGAAACCCTCTTCACATTGCATTCGCTTACACAGTAAAATATTATATTTTTTATGTAATTAGATATATGTATACTAATTGAAAACTGTTTCATAGTTACATTTGAGAATGTGGTTGTAAGAGAGGAGTTGACCATTAAAATTTATCCTGTTAGTCAAAGATTTTAAAAAATCAATTGCTTATCCATATATTATCTGTCTACATCCATAATATCAAATCAAACGCTTGTCACAGAAAAATCAAATATGAGCCAAGCAAGGCTGATTTTGAGAAAATGTGTGTTGGAAGTTCTTGTCAATGAAAATAAGAAAGGCAATCTACAGTGTGATGTAAATATAATCTTATTGTGTCAACATACAAATTACAATAGAATGAAGGGCATTTTTCATAAATATTTAAAATAACAATTATTTGAAAGAAAAAGGAGAGAGAAGCAGTAAGAATTATTTGGACAAGTTATTAGAAGAGAGCAGATGTGTTTTGCTCCAATGACTGACAAGATTGACAGAGAAAGAAGTATGAACAGAGTTTTAAAAAAAAAGGACCATTTTCCTTCCTTACGCCTTTAGGCGTATAGGGCAGTTAGGGCTAGACCTATATTTTATAGAGTACCCAGAATTTGATGGGTGATGATGTCAGCAGCACACCAGCCACCTTTACTTCCCAGGATGCACCTGGTACTCACTCAAGGCTGGGTTGTCCTGGAAACCAAGATCGTTTCTGAAAAAAGTCAGGCTCTATCAGGACCCGAACCACGACCTTTTGTTCTGCAGGTGAGCATTTATCTGCTACACCATCGCAGCTCACTGGTATCAATAAAACTGATCAACACAATAGATAACAGATGATATAGAAAATTATGTTTACCTGTGTGTGGTAAGTTTGAACAGAAATGTACAATCCTGTGATTAGCTCACATGGTGAGTAAATTATAAGATATTTTACTAACAATATGATATAATAAAGTTCCACATGTAAATGATCACCAGGGTGAGTTGACCATCACACCAGAGATGGAAGAACTCAGCAATGCAATGTTTCTCAACAATGTTCCCCCACAGTGGGAGAAAAAGGCTTATCCTTCTCTCTTTCAGATGGCTCAGTGGTATGTATTGATGGTTTACTCAGTAAGTTAAAAAAAAAAAAATAGGCATTTTTTTAAAAAAATCAGTGGCACATCAAAGAGATGATGCTAAACTCGTTTTGTTATAGACCAACTGGCAGTCAGTGGGTGATGTGGACAAGGATCATGCTGGCTGCTTTGACATGCTAGGAGATTTACCTGGTCATATTTTAGGCTGGTAGCAACCACTGGTAACAATGGTTATAAACCTGGTCCATTTTAGGCTAGGAGCAACCACTGAGATGAGTTCATCTGAACTGACATCACATCACTTGGGGTATTCCCATAAGCGTTCCATCCTTATTTTCAGCAGCCAGTGTAGAGTTCCAGTACCAATGGTGCCATTAGCAGTCTGATTATATGGCCATTAGCAGTCTGATTATATGTTTATCTTGCTTATACGCCCGTCTTGCCTTTCCTCTGAGTATCGAATATCAGCCAGGTCCCGTTGTCACTTCCCCCTGCATCACTCTCACTAGACTGGTGATCCATTTACTCCTCCGAATCGTACACGTTCTCCCATAAGGTCTTAACCACGTCTGCCTTATCATTCATCAATGTTCCACCAGGTTGTGCAGAGCCAGCCAGTCTGTCAACCTGTTCATTTCCCAACAAACTGACCTGCCCTGGAGAAAAAATCCAGACAGTGCTCCTCACCCGTGACCTGCAAATTGAAAGGAAACCACTGGTAACAACAGTTATAAGGCAAAGAAGACGGTGCTACAGTGGACACATCCTGGGATTAAACAAGCAGAGAATCACGAAGCAGGCACTTCTCCTTCTTCTTCTTTGTCTTCGTGTTCACCAGCTGTAAACTCTGGCAGAAAGGTTTTGGACTGAATTGCATCAGTGATATCAAAAGGATTGCACACAACAGAATGGAATGGAGGAATAGACCCTATGTGACACATAATGGCACACTTGGTTAATAATGATGATTTTTTGTACCTGGGAGCCAAGGTCATTTCTATAAAACAAAAATTTTAAACATTGCTAATTGTGTTTTGATTCTAAACCTTTGAGTTGGCATATAAATATCTAGCCATATGTTTTTGTGGCTGCTATCCATAGTTTACTGACAGTAAATAAATGTATAATCTGTGTTTACTGACAGTACATAAATGTATAATCTGTGTTTACTGACAGTGCATAAATGTATTATCTGTGTTTACTGACAGTACATAAATGTATTATCTGTGTTTACTGGCAGTACATAAGTGTATTATCTGTGTTCTTCTGACAGTGCATAAATGTATTATCTGTGTTTACTGACAGTACATAAATGTATTATCTGTGTTTACTGACAGTATATAAATGTATTATCTGTGTTTACTGACAGTACATAAGTGTATTATCTTTGTTCTCCTGAAAGTGCATAAATGTATTATCTGTGTTCTCCTGACAGTGCATAAATGTATTATCTGTGTTTACTGACAGTACATAAATTTATTATTTGTGTTTACTGACAGTACATAAATGTATTATCTGTGTTTACTGACAGTACATAAATGTATTATCTGTGTTTTCCTGACAGTACATAAATGTATTATCTGTGTTTACTGACAGTACATAAGTGTATTATCTGTGTTTCCCTGACAGTGCATAAATGTATTATCTGTGTTTTCCTGACAGTACATAAATGTATTATCTGTGTTTACTGACAATACATAAATGTATTATCAGTGTTTACTGACAGTACATAAATGTATTATCTGTGTTTACTGACAGTACATAAATGTATTATCTGTGTTCTCCTGACAGTGCATAAATGTATTATCTGTGTTCTCCTGACAGTGCATAAATGTATTATTTGTGTTTACTGACAGTGCATAAATTTTCTATCTGTGTTTACTGACAGTACCTAAATGTATTATCTGTGTTTACTGACAGTACCTAAATGTATTATCTGTGTTTACTGACAGTACCTAAATGTATTATCTGTGTTTACTGACAGTATATAAGTGTATTATCTGTGTTTACTGACAGTACATAAGTGTATTATCTGTGTTTACTGACAGTACATAAATGTATTATCTGTGTTTACTGACAGTACATAAATGTATTATCTGTGTTTACTGACAGTACATAAATGTATTATCTGTGTTTACTGACAGTACATAAATGTATTATCTGTGTTTGCTGACAGTACAAAAATGTATTATCTGTGTTTTACTAACAGTACATACATGTATTATCTTTGGTCACTGACAGTACCTAAATGTATTATCTGTGTGGATCCTAATTCTGGGTTCCTTTGGATAAGATTAACTAAAGTCTGAAATATGAAAAAGTAAAATTATTGAAAAAGTTTAGTATAACCAACAAAGGATTAACTGTTTGTTATAAAAATACTGGCATTCCTACAGTATTTATGTGAATTTGGAAGGGAAAAAAAAGCAAAAGTATAAATAAGCTTTTACAAAATGACAATTACAGTTTAAATAACACAAAAATATTTTATTTTCAAAAAAAAAAAAAACACACACACAAAAAAGTAGGACAAGTTTTCATCAGCAAACAGTTGTAAGACAGCATTACAAGACCTAGAAGGAAAGAACACTGCAACTGAAGTAACCAAATTACATACAGTCTTGCAGTATTATGCAAAGATGTGATACACAAATAAGCAAGCATAATTAAATATAACTCAGTGACTCCAAAAAAAATGGAAATGTATCAGATATACGTACTTGATTATACTGGGTTTTAGGAGTGAAGGATATCTTTCAGCTGATGTAATGCACAGCTTATCTATCCATCAGGTATCTTATCTATCCATCAGGTATCTTATCTATCCATCAGGTATCTTATCTATCCATCAGGTATCTTATCTATCCATCAGGTATCTTATCTATCCATCAGGTATCTTATCTATCCATCAGGTATGGTGACATGTTACAGAGGGCTCGAGAGCTGGATAACTGGATAGGAGATTTTAGCCTGCCTGCTAGCGTCTGGCTGGGCGGCTTTTTTAATCCACAGAGTTTCCTCACTGCTATTATGCAACAAACAGCCAGGAAGGTGAGAATGTATGGCCAATACAAGTGTTCCTTATAGCTTCAGTGTTTAAAATTTACACTGTATTATTATATTAAGACTACATTTCATTACATCTCAATTCAGTTCTGAAGTAAGCCCTAGGTAAGATACAGCTGGATATGTTGTTTTCTGAAGTAAAGGACTTTCTTTCCCAGAATTGACATGTAGAAGGTATATGGTGCTAGCCTAATTTTTTGTGCGTAAGAAACCAATCTGCACTTATGGATGATGTGTCATAATGAAAGCTGTCTTTATTTTTCTCAGAAAACATTCTGGTACACATTTGAGGCTGTTAACCATGGAAGAGTCATAATCACATTGAGCCGGGAAGTGTAAGGAGTGACCAGCAGGTGCCACAGAGGTGGAAATTCAGTAATTAATTCAGGATAATGCTCGCTCGGGTTATGTGATTATTTACACAGGCCGTTCAGTGTCAAGAGGCAAAAGAAGTGCCTTGTTTTTTTTTTTTTTGTTTAGCAAAAAGTAATGGTGGACATTTAGTGCAGGAGAGCCTAGCATTGGATACCACAGCAGCCAGCTTAAAAATGGAGGTGGAGGCAGTAACTGCAGCTGTCCGTTGACTAGAGAACATGATATATATACACACACACACACACACACACACACTTGGCATGCTTCGCTTTGGAAATCAAGGGGGAAGCATTGTCTAGATATGTTCTCTGATGTCTTAAGAAATGAACAGGTGGGCAGACTTGTCGGCTCTGAGCAACTTGGTGGAATACTGATGCATGATAAGGCTGACGTGGTTAAGAATTTATGGGAGTATGCGTACAGTTTGGAACAGAAAAATTGATCCTCACAGTCTGGTCAGAAAACTTATACGAATGCCCAGAGTGCTGTGATGTCAACCCGAAAACCAGATTAAATTATTATTAAAAGTGCTCCTGTGAGGATTTGAATACATGATCCCTGCATTAACAGACAGACAAGTTTGGTAGACACTGCGATGCCACCGATCCCACACCAAAATATGCCAGGGGTGAACTGAGCAATGTCCTGCTTATTTTCTGTGTTTTAACTATACACTATTTTTATTTCTAATATTTAAACTTGAATGGTATACTGCATGCTTTAGTGCTGCTGGTTGCCTGTTAAATCTTGTGTGCTTTTATTTGACAGAATGAATGGCCTCTAGATCGCATGTGCTTACAGTGTGATGTGACCAAGAAAACCAAGGAAGAAATGTCTGGGCCACCACGAGAAGGAGCATATGTTCATGGACTCTACATGGAAGGAGCCCGCTGGGACGTTCAGACTGGTTTTATAGCAGAGTCAGTATTGAAAGAACTCACGCCCAGAATGCCGGTGATCTTCCTCAGGGCTATCCCTGTGGACCGCGTGGATCAGAGGCTGGTGTATGAGTGTCCAGTTTATAAAACAAAGGGTCGCGGTCCCACCTTTGTGTGGACCTTCAGGCTGAGAACAAAGCTTGAACCATCAAAGTGGGTGTTAGGTGGTGTTGCTTTACTTCTACAAGTATAAGCTTGTTATGTTTGAAAGACAGTTTCCTTTTTTTAATGTTCCTTTTGTTTGGTTAGCTCAAGCGATGCAATATTCTACTGCTTTATACATCTGGTCATAACTTGTATCAGTTATATAAGTATTATATTCAAAATGCTGTTGAAAAAAACATTTCAAAGGCAAAAATGTGAAATACTGAGAAGTAGAAACCACTCTGCTGGAATATGTCAAGAAAATATGGGCAGATGGATTTTCTGTGTCCGTGAAAATGTCACAGTTAAAGATGATCAATTATGAGACATCATGGGAATTTCTGAGAGTGAAGTTGTAGCCAGTTATGGCGGGCAAGGTGCTTTATGGCACGAAATGAGCTCATAATTTGGTGGGACAAAATTGGTGCAGCGACTTCCCGACACCTACCAGGAAAAGGTTTGCGTTTGAGAGACATATTACAGAACACACAGTTACAGCATGAGGGCCATTTAAAATGTAGACATGTCAGCCTAATATCTCAAATATAAGCCACACCTAATTTTCCATCAATTATTTTCACTTAAAATGCTGAGCCTATGTGTAAATTTGGTATATTTCTTCAATGTGGCACTTGGTCCCAGGGCACTCTCATTAGATGGTCAAACCATAAAATGTTTGCTTTTTAATTAATTATGTGTCTGGATTCAGTCCTAATCTTCTAATTTCTTAATCTGTAATTTTGTCTCATCTGTTACTGCAATAGCTTCTCTTCTTAGACTTTCTATTTATTTGCCTTATGTACCTTACATAAAACTATTATTTCTCAAATTACGAAAGTAATTTTTAAAATGTTTTTTAGTATTTATTTTTCTACGTCTGCTGGTTTCCCCCCACTGGAATGGAGATTATATACCTGAATGTATTTACATGTCACCATGGCATAGTTAAATTATTAAACATTGAAAAATAAGAAACTGAACAGTATCTGTCTTTGTTATGACTTCCTAAAGTTTGGTGGCAATTCATGATGAGACTGAAATCAGCAGATATAAAACAATTCATCCAAAAGTGGAAACATGATCTTCCTCTTGTATGCGATTATCCCAGAGAGCAGCTTCTTTTTTAATTGCATCTATTTTTATTTCTAGGTGTAAAAATATTTGTACAAGTTCCCTGAAGAGAAATGTTAAGCTCATTAAGGAGGCTGAATGTGTCCGCAAAATATATGCCAGCTTGGCAGCCCATTCCTCATTCAACAAAAGCCCTGCCAGGTCAGATTTTTTTCTCTGACAGGAACTACTTTACTTCCTCCCTCACTTCGACAAAGTGTGCAAAAATCCATCCTCTTGATAACCACCTCAGTTCTGCATGAAGGAAGAGATGTTGGTGATAAGTCCATATTCTCTCACAGAGTGTCATGAACAGCCTGAAGTTCAATGCTCTACTGCAAATTGCATTTATGATCTTCGCCACATCATTCATCATAATATTGAATGTTTAGTTCAGTGAAAAGCTATTGTAAGGGAGGTTCTCCCACTGAGCTGATAAAACTTTGGCGTGCTCAACTTATTTTATTTTCTCAACTACTTCTGGTTGATGTCCAATCATGCTGACAGCAACATCCATTCACGTTCTGAAACATTTGCTCAGGTCTAAGCTCTACACTTGAAAATGCCTGTTGGGAACATTGTATTTCAACTAGTGGTCCGTCTTCTTCTTCTTCTTCTTCTTCTTCACTCCCTTATTTACCGCTGTGGGTGTCGAGGGAGATATAAGGTTCTGTTTCTAGCTCTTCTGGCTGCCTCGACCATAGGCACATCGTGCTGTTGTAGAGTTTCTCTGATGTTATCCTTCCATCTTGTTCTTGGTCTACCCCATGCTCTACGTCCTTCTTCTCTTTCCATGTATGCTTTGTATGGTATGGTGTCACAAGGCATTCTCTCTAAGTGGGCTAACCATTTCACTTGCTGTCTTTGTATGTAATCCAGAATTGGTTCTGTGCCGACTTGTTCTCTTATGATCTCATTCCTGATCTTATCTCTTATGGTCACTCCTACAGCCCTTCTCAGACATCTCATTTCCATGGTTACTAATTTTCTTTTATGGTTTGTTGTGAGTGACCATGTCTGGCACTGGTAGCACAGAGTTGGAATAAATATGCTTTGAATAAGATGTCTCTTTGTGCTGATTGGGATTGTCTTATGCTGTAAGAAGTGGTCCGTCCCTGTAAGTAAAGGTGACAAAGAAGTTCTCTCCTAAAGTTCCCATCTTCTTCATTGACACTTACATAGAATTTCACTATGGGGAACTTTGGAATACTATACTAAATCTAGAAATCACTTTTGACAGGAGACTGTCTTTCAAATACCATGTAGAAGAAATACCATACCAGTTTTAAAGATCCTATTTTCCGAAGCGTGCTCTGTGAGTCCATTACAGTTGCTACATGTTGGGCTGTGCTGCTCTTAAGCCATCGGAAAGCTGCCACCTTACTTCCCACTACAGACAAGCTTCGAGGTGACCATGAGTACATCTTATCTGCTGTCTTTTACCGCTCACAGCCTATAATTTGTGCCGAGGCCCTGACTTCCGAAACTAAACATCGCCGCAGCAAAACTATCCTCTCGCTTACCTACCTACCACTTTCACATATGTGCCAATAATTATTCTCATCAGGTACCTCTTAACCATACGGGCCGACCCTGTTACAAACATGATTTTCTCTAAATTTCCCCTAATGGTCTACAGACATGACCGTAACCTCAAGGACGTTCTAGTCAAGTGTCGGTTAAAGCACCTCTGAGCCCCACTTAGTCATGGTCTCTTGTCATAGACCTATATTCAAGACGTGTTCGTTTGCGGCTCTGGCGGACAGTCTGGTATTCCCTAATGCGTCAGGTATTCTACTGCACGAGCTACAATGTTATTTACACCATTGTCTGCAAAAGATGTGGTGTGAAATATATTGGCAGAATGTGGCTATGTATAGCTGACAGGTTTAGGTAACATCTTTCTATGTTCCCTCAAACAAGTGCTAGTACATTTAAATTCTCTAGGTCACCATGGTGTCCCCAACTAGGGGTTACAGCCATCAAGTCTGGCTACTCCATTGACAGAATCTAAATCACTTTATCTATTTTATCGGTTCCAACTCGCCAAGGAGACTCAAAGTCGAATGGTTTTATCTAATATTTGTTTACTTGTGGCCCTTGCCTGACAGAGCTTTTTCTGGCTACTGGTCATTACCAATGGTCACACGGGGTCAGTGATTCAAGTGGACAGAAAGACACATGATTTCTACTAGAGATACTTAAGTCAAGCTATTTTGTGTATTCTTTTTTTTAAAAAAAAACGTTTCTTGAGGCCTTGGAGATGCAGTTTTACAGAAAATTGTTTATAGTTGCTCTGACAACTAAAAAGAGCAACCCAATTGTTTTAAAAGAGACACAAGCTTGAAGATATCACAAACAACAGAAAGAGACAGTCATCATTTATTTAAGCATGTTGTGTGAAAAGAAGAAAAACTGGAATAGGTTGTGAAGGATCTATGGAAAAGGAGACAGAGGAAGACAACGCGAGACGGTTCCTGACAGCCTTTTTTAATGGCACGAAGGGGTATTAATGCATAAGCTAATACATCCTGTTGAGGATAGCAGATTGAGGAGAGGCATGATCACCCACGCCAGTCGGCAAGACACTTGATGATGATGATGATTTGTGGTAAGATCTGTTCGTGTAAAATATCCTGATGCAGGTTTTCTACATTTATTTGTGTTTACTTCTTCTAAACGTGAAACAACAGTGCATGGCGTATTGTGTGTATAATTGTCACCGTTTCTGTGAATAATGTCCTTCCTCTACTAAAGAAGGTTAAAAGTTTTTGAGGGCCGACCAATTTAACCAAAGAAATAACTTGTTTGCGTAAATAACATAGCACAATATTAGAAAACAGTACAGACAGGCGTAAAGAAATCAGAATGATACAACGTGTGGACAGGCAAACAATAGCCTACGGATGATATTCAGTGGTCTCGTCAAATTGTCGCACTCGTTGTGCAGCAAAGTAGTGTCAGAACCAACAGAAAGACGAAATGCCTTAGAAGAGCTGCAAGAATTCCAAGGAAAGACGTAATACGAAATCATACAAATGCTAGGAATAAAGCCAGTCTTACAGGTCATCAAAGAACAACAAATGAAGTGGTTTGGACGCCTAACAATCATGCCCTGGTACTATCTATCACAGCGAGCCACACTGAAATGTTACAACGGGTATGGAGCGAGCGGAAAACCTCGGAAAATATGGAGTGATAGCATTAAGAACAGCCTTACACAAATGAACATCAGTCTTAATAGTGCTCTTGAAAGCTCACCAACAAACGTTACATCTCCCCCCCCCCCCCCCCCTCCTTTCCCTGGACACTTTACTGAGGTACAAGGTGGAAGAGAAGAAGTGTCAGAATCATGTAGCTGCTATAAAAGTTACGGTCATTATTCCCAGCCCAGACTGGACTATAGGTTGTATATGTGCCAAGTGCCTTAATATATCTCTTGAAACAAGGATTTGTACCTGTTTGATTCTCATCCTTAACGTGTTGATCATAGAGACTGCAATCCTTAAAAAAAAAATCCCTAGCCTGTTGGCACCCCATCGGAACTTGCCCTGCGGCTGTGACGAAATGACCTCAGTGTTTTCAGAAGTTATTATGTTTAATAATTTTTTCTGTTAACAGAGAGACAAAGAATTATATTTAATATGCCATAGCCCAAATAAATGTAAACAATGTGGGAATTAAAATTGTTTCCAGACAGACACTTTGACTTTAGCAGATGTTGAAGGGCCTAGTATTTCCTCTCATACTGCATACAGTTTATTATCTCTTTTCGTCGGTCTCGTGCTCACTTCCCTCTCCTCTTTTAGTATATGACTTGTATGATATGGCAGTTGAACTTCTTGATTTCTTCCGTGTCCGTTTCTATCCGGAACACATTCTACAAGGGGCTCTAAACAAAGTTTTGGCAATCGCCACGAGAGATGCTTTCCCTACCAA